TCTGAGTTGAGTATAGCCTGGTCTACAGAGCCAGTTCTAGGACAGCTGAGGCTATGCTAAGAAACCCTGTCTCTAAATTTGCAACCCCCACACGAAAAGAAAACAAACACAAATGTTCAAAGGTAAGTCTGAAAGGATAGAATGTGAGCAAAGAAATGTGAAGAAACCAGCCAGATAGTCCTCAATTTTCACATGATGAACCCACAGGACCAGGAAGTTCAGTAAATTCTGAGTACACAGAAAAAGGACACACCGAACCGTATCAGAATCTAAGTTCTCACAACCAGCAATAAGAAGAAAAATCTTAAATGATGTTGGAGAAGGAAGCTTGTACAATAGAGAGAAGAATAAATGAGTGTGCAGCCTAAGATTCTTACTTGGAAAGAATACAGAGATAGAGGACATCCTGAAAATTCTAAAAGAAAAACCACTAAGCTATGCCTAGAGGAAACATTTTTTTTTTTTTGAAAAATGAAGGTGAACAAGACAATTTTTTAAAAGTACAGAAGGTGAAAAGAATCCATCCTCAACAGACCCACACTTCAAGAATGTCAAATGAAGTCCTTGAGGCCAATCAAAACTGATAGCAGATGAAAGTAGGGACTTTGCAGTGCTATAAATCTATGAAAATGTCCAAGGAAAACAAAGTATAGAAAGTACATTGAGAACCAACTAAACAAACCACAACTGCCTTCTATAGCAGAAGTAGAGCTTAGTATGGGAGAATTTCTCCAAGGCTTACATAGACTACTATGAAGAAAGTTTCATTAATTTTAACACTCTTGAATAGCTCTCTGTATATTCCTTTTTATGTGTTTCTGTGAATTTTACCCAGATCTCTGCAGCTGCAGAAACACATTTTCATGGGTTCTTTTCATGACTTCTTTTGTGAATTTAAACCACCCCTTCAATTTCTGGTGACAGAAGATCCCGAATTTCCTTCTTTTAACCAACAGTTGTGAGAAACCAGGCCCAGTGGACTGAGATTGGCCAAACCAGAAGGAAAAGGGAGTTAACTCTGGAAGCCTGGGACTTTAACCTCAGACCTGGTGCTCTGCCTTCCATTTTTTGCCCGTGTGAGATTCTCCTTAGCACTCATGTTTCGAGGGCAACCGCTATCTATGGTCTCCATACTGCCTCTTGGATAATGAACTAAATTTTCTTGCAAAACATTATCTAAAAAGCAAACTCTGTACTTCCCTTAACATGAAAAACTGATAGATGAAAAGGTCTATTTGAATAAATCATATTGTAATTTAATATTTTCCTGCAGGCAATTCAATTAACTCTGAATATTGAAGAGGGTTTAGTCAAGACAGTTATTTATTTCTTTTTTCTAATTTCCTTGTGCTTTCATGTAAATTTCTCAGCCCCCTCTCTGTAGAATTACCATAGTGGCTGGGACCCTGTACAACTATTCTGAAAACTGGAAGGCCTTCGCCACTCAATACATTGGGAATCAGGTCTGCGTGCTTTCTGTACCACCCACTTCCACTTCGGCCAAGTCATTGCACCCCAGAAACAGGCCACTGAAAAATGCACAAGAGGAGATAAGACTGCTGGATGCTCTCTTGAAAGGGAGACGTTGTTCCCATGGTGGTAAGCTACTTTCACTGGCTGATATCACAATTGTCCGCTGTGGCTCTGTCAGTAGGGCTCAGAGCCTTCTTTCTCCCTGGCCTACCCCAGTACCAAAGGCTGGTTTCTTATCTGCATTAACCAGACCCATTTCGGGGCTCTCTTGGGGGAAGGGAAACTGGGTGAGAAGATGGCCCAGTCTGATGCTAAGAAGTTTGCAGAGAGCCAGCCTAAAAAAGGATATCCTAGGGAAAGAAAAGGGTTCATAGGAATAAAAAGAAAAGCCCCAGGCTGAAAAGAGGCAGCTTCCTCAGCTTCTGAGAATATGGGTGAATTTGAGTAGGCACTGGCAGCTGAGCCCAAGGCCAAGGGCCCCTTAGCTTATGTGCCCAAGGATACCTTCCTGTTCGATGAATTTAAGCATTAAGTACTCCAATGAGGACACCCTTTCTGTGGTTTTGGCATATTTGGGGGAGCATTTTGATAAGGATGACTGGCCCTTATGGGTACCCAAGTACCACTTCCCTGAAGAGCTTACCCAGGCCTTCATAAGTTGCAATCACATCACTGGAATGCTCCAGCGATTGGACAAACTGAGGAAGAAGGCTTTTGCTAGTGTCACCCTCTTTGGAATCAACTACAGCAGCTCCATTTCTGGAGGTTGGGTCCTCTAAGGCCAAGAGCCTGTCTTTCTGCTGAGTCCAAATTTTCAGGTGGACTACGAATAATACACGTGGTGGATCCTGGACCCATGTAGTACTTTTCCGGGAAGGGGATGTTCTAGCATATGGGCAAAGCAGTCAATCAAGACAAGATTTTCAACTAAACATGTTTTAGCTGCCTGGACCCACCCTTCATGCAGATAGGGGTCATTAAAGAAAACTGAACATTGAAAAAGAATTTTCTAGTGAATACTTTATCCCGTATAAAATATAACTTGTATCTCTGTGACTTAACTAAAACCTAAACTTGTCAATTACCTTATATAAATTACCAAAAAAGTATTCATTTTAAGATTTAGAAGTTCAATTTCTCATGAAAGAAAGATTTTACAAATTGTGTTACAAGACAGGACATTCTACCAGTAATTTACTTCTTTTCTAAACTGAGTTTGTTTCCCTTTATTTATCTTACTTTTAAATTCTATGAATTCTTGTTTTTCTCTAAGATAATACTTAGGAGGAGTATGCCTGTCACAGTTCCTCTTAGTGAACGGTTTGGTATGGTTGCATTATTGATTTTTCTTATTTCAGTATGCAAAACTTCCCTTGGTAATATCAACTATTTTCAATTTTCAGTAAGAGTTTGATTCAGACATACTTTTGTCTTCAAAACTTCAAAACTGGTAATTCCAACAATTTCTCCCATATCTTTAAAAGGTTTTTGTTCTCAGGTATATTTATGAACAGGTTTAAGACAGAAATAATCATGTATGTCCCTGAATCTAATCTCCCCCCCTCCCTTTTTTCAATCTAAACCAATCTGAAGTTCATGCATTATTCAACACTTTGTAAGCCAAATATTCTTAGTCAATAATGTCTGCTTCCAAGATTCCATCCATGAAAAGTGTTCTGCTCCTGCTCATCTATAAGTATATCCTGAGATCTCTCTCCTTCCTGTGTACCAGTTAGCTCCCAGAATCTCTTACAAGAATTCTAGTAAATTTTTATGCCTACCAATATGACAGAAGGCAGAAGCTCAAATTTTTTCAACTAATATCTAAAGAAATAAAGGACTGTCCTAGAGGTATTTAATAGATGTTTATATATTGATATAATGTCAATAAAGGATTGTCTTGATTGTAAAGGATTATCTTGATTGTGAAAGATTGTCTTGATTGTAACAATACTATAATTTAAATCCTTCTTGTGTATGTGTTTAATTTAATCATTTGTGATGAAGAGGTAGCTCATATAGAAAGCAAAACATATAGAGAGAAACATCAATATTTTTAGAAAAATAATCTTCAATGTACACACACACACTTTAATATTAGTTGTACTTCCAATCCTGTCTTCCCATTTTAAGTTTTTTCAATTTTTACAATTGTATTATTCTTCACAGATTCAAAATGATTCTGTTGCATTCATAGATATGAGTGCAAGTAGTTTTAATAATTTCCTTACACTCTACTCTTGTGAAGAAATTTATTCATTTTATCAACTTAGACCTCTCAGTCATAACTGTCCAAATTATGACAAAAGAGGCTCTGCCAATGAAAAGATTGCATAATTGGATCAATCTGATTCTCTGTACTCTTAAATGCATGCCATGATATTCATGCATAATATCATTGAGTGGATTTGAGTCTTTTCAAAATAAGAACAAAACTAGACTGCTTTAAAAGTGAGTAGATTTTAAAGATATGTTATTTTAAAGAAACAAAAATACTTCTGTATATGTTGGGTAGAAATATATGAAAATGTAGGTAGGTGAACATATGCATTTATATACATATGCTGGTATAGTTACTTAAATCACAAAAGCTATGCTGCCAACTTTATTAAACTAGCTTGTAGGTATTCGATCTTTTACAATGATTCTTAAAGCTTCTTATTTCTCTTTCTCTCTTTCTTTCTTTCTTTCTTTCTTTCTTTCTTTCTTTCTTTCTTTCTTTCTTTCTTTCTTCCTTTCTTTCTTTGGGTTTTTCAAGACAAAGTTTCTCTGTGTAGCTTTGTAGACCAGACTGGCCTTGAACTCACATAGATCCACCTGCCTCTGCCTCCTGAGTGCCCGGATTAAAGGTGTGTGCCATAACTGCCTGGCTAAAGTTTCTTATTTTGATTACCATCATTAATTTTTTTGATATCTTTATAAATCACATTTTGGTATTTAACTGAAATTTACTTCAAACCGAAAGAAAAATAATTTGTTTAAAAATTCTGATTTTGATTGAAGTTATAAATGACTGAGGTGGAAAATGTATTTGAAATTCCATCAATAATTATTTCATAAATTGACAGAGTATCGATACCCAGTTTTGTTAGTGTGAAAATATGGATTATTTTCTATAAAGAATAAAATAAATGCAAGTGATTCTATGGAAATGGATGATTATGCAAATACCTTGATTTGTTTTGTTATTTCCAGAGATGAGTTTCTCTGTGTAGGCCTGGTTTTCTTAGAACATGCTTTGCAGACCAGGCTAGACTCAAGTGCTGGGATTATAGGCATGTACTATTATGCCATGCAATACCTACTGTTTCTATAGATTATTTTTCTATATGCTATTTCATGGATGCTAATAAAAACACATTTGGCTTCATAAAATAGGTTTTCAAATTGAAGAGAAACTAAAATATGTGATTTTTATTTGTTTTGTACAGAATTTCTTATTATTAACATCTTATTTACTGCTTCTTTAGGATATGTATTTAGTGTTGTATTCCATACACAGCAATATAAGCAAAGTTATTTCTTACCTGAAATGAAGTAATTGGATATATATTAACATGAGCCTCATTCCATCGTTGTCCTTTATTCCCACTTGAAGACCATAGAGGATTCTCTATTGTTGTCTGTCCTTTCAAACGTAGATATACATTTAAAACACCTAAAATAACAATGGAATTTTATATTGTCTATTTGTATCTGCTTCAAGTTTGTTTCTCCTTGACCAAACATTTATAAATATTTAAAATTAAGTCTTGCAGAACATTGTAGTGTCTTTCTCTCTCCTTCTATTTCTTATCTTGTCATGGTGTGATCTAGAGATAACAACATTCTATTTCCTGGAAACTAAATGTTACCTTATATTCTCAAAATGACTTTGCAGTGAAGGCTAATGTTTCTGAGGTGGACAGGCTGTCCTAGATAATCTCAGTGGGATCTAAATGGAGTCACACTTATATGGACCAACAGCAAAAGACATTTTATTCAGGAGAGAAGACAGGCTTGTTAAGGATGTTATCTCCTACAGAAGAGAGACGATATCTCCCAGTCAAAGAATATGAGCAAGAAGACACAAGAGAATAGATTTTTCCCAGAATCCCCAGAAAGATGCTATCTTGATTTTAGCACCACAGTATTTTAATATTTATTTTGGTTTCATTTCCAGAACTGTAAGGTAATACATCAATCCTGTTTCAAGCCCAGTTTGTTGTCATTTGCTATTCATCACAACAGCAGTAGACAGTCAGCAGCATTTATTCATGTGCTAAATGGCCCACACACTAATTTGACCTTCATTTTGACTTATATAATCATTTAGTATTTTTTTCTTTAAAATGAAATCACATTTATTTTCATCTAAGTCTTATTTTCCTTCTGAAGTATTCAACATAAAATACATAGCTTTTTTATTTCATCATTTAACACATCTTTTTAATTTTGTGTGTTATATACAAAAATGTTAAGTAATGATGATAATAGTATTGATACAGTAAAATGTATGTTAAGGCCTTGTGCATACAAGGAATGAATCTTCTCAGGGATCTATAAAGTGCTTACTGCAATTATCCCACATTGCAGATGAGAATAGTTATAGGACTTAAGTGATTTTTCCCTATGTAATGTAACAAGAAAATACAGAGGCAGGCTTTAAACTCAGAGTATAAATTTTTTATCATTTGATGAAGCTATCCATATTTAATAGAGATAATTTAAAAAAATCAACTGCATTGAAATGATATATTGTATTATTATGTTGAACAAAGATTTTGCTATAAGAATACATTTTACTTGCTAGTAGATGAAGCTTCTTTTGTCTTAATGTTTATTCATTTAGGCATATGGGTGAAAATAATGTATGTTTACATCCATAAAATGATGTGAATTTTTATTGTTCTACCTTTGTTGTTGTTTTCACATTCTATTCCAAGATTTTTTATATTTTCTCTTTAAATGTAATGTCTACTTCCATATTTCTACACACAAACATTTTATAGCATAGTACTTTTATTTCTACAGTGTGGTTTCTCTTCTTTTGCTTCTAATAACACCATCCATTATCCAATTATTATATTCTACATACCATATTCTTTTATGGCTTCTCTAACTTTCCCATTTTTATCTGGATTCTTGTTTTCTTCACCCACTACTCTATCATTCACCATTTTTCTTTCCTAAATTTCATTTTATTATGTATATTAATATAATTGTACATGTTACTTAAAGTTAGTGAATCCTTTTCAACAGATAATGCTTCTCTGTTCTCTGCCCCTGCCTCTCTCCCACTCTCCACTTCTGTCTTTCTTATCTCTCTTTCTCTCCATCCCCAATTCTTTACCCCATTTTCTGCAATATATAGAGATCCTGTAGTGATTTTTTTCTCCCAAAGAGCACGTTTAGTACTTCTGTTGCATTTTTTTCATATGGAAAAATTGATTAAACTAAAAGAAAATTGATCTTTTCCACATATTGATAAATGGATTGGTAAAAGATTAATAATGATGCTAATTTTAACATGTGATCATTATAATTATATTTAACAAATAATGAAAGCTATAAATCTGTCAGAATTTATTTGAGGTTATAATTTAATGTGGTGAAACACTTATTAATATATACTAGTAAATGTTATAGACTGAATCTGAAATGGCCCACAATGACTTCTGTGCCAAAGGCTTAGTTTCCAGTGCAATGTTTAGGCTTATACATTTAGGAAAGTGAACTGATCATTAGAATTTTGACGTAATACATGAATGACTCATGTTTGATGAAATTCTTGGAGGCTGAGGAGGGAGACTAACAGGTAGAATCTGGATGGAAGAAGGGGGGGGGGTCCCTGGGTGCTGCTCCAGAAAGATGCATCATATATAAGCTCCTTCCTCATCCCCGTCTCTCTGTGATTTCCAGATACCATGAGGTGAGGAGCTTCACCCCAGAGACAGAGCTTGCTGCTCTGTCATGTTACTGCTGTATCACAGGACTTCAAAGATGAAGTCAAGTGACACAAGAGAGAAAATTTCAAATCAGGAGACCAAATAGATCTTTCCTTTACCAAGTTATTTATTTTAGGTGTTTTGTGACAGAAAGAAAAAGCTGCCTAACAATGACATTATTAGATGAATAGTTAAATCCATTGTCTCAGAGTTTAAGGGAGTGTTTCTTGTTAGGGGATATGCTCTGCTGTGACTATGTTTATAATTTCTTTATTAACTAATTTTAATGTGTATATTAATTCACACTTTATTTATTTTGTTTATCATATGGAATATATTTTATACGAAAACTTTTTTTGCCTATATCTAAACAAAACAGATCTAAATCATCTTAGAGTTAAAATTAGATTTAGATTAAACAATATGAGTTGTAATTAATTGTGAATAGCTTATATTTTAAAGGGAAAATATTTTGTTTTATAAGAAAAAGAGATAGTATAAATTATTGAAATAAGGCTTCCATCCATGTTAAAATTTAAACATCTTCTCATGTAGGTGCTAATAATCATTTTGTTGTCTCAGAATAATACAAAGTGTTTCTTAGCTGGTATATTTCTGAGATAATGGCAAAAGCTCATAAATAAACAAATGATTTGCCCCTACCATTTCCCATTTTAGACCATAAAAAAAGAATCTGCTATCAACAGACATTTAACCCTATTCCAGGTCATCTTGGTCAACAAAGTAGAACTTGTGCAACAGAATAAAGCTCCTTGAGAGAACTTAGAGTCAGCAGAGCTGATTCAGCACATTATTATATTATTATAGTAAAAATTCCAACGTGCACATGATGGATTGTGTTAATACCCTTTAAAAGTAATTTTAAATCCTCAGAGAGATGGTTTGTGCTTGAGTAGGCACCAGATGCCAGGATGTATGAACATATCCATCCCCAAGGATCTTCTAATATTACATAGTTCTATGATAAAAGCTGGAAATAGCTAAGTGAGCCATATTTCTCTTCCTTTGCTCCCAGTAGTCAAAGGCTAAATGACCTCGGTTGTTTTTATATAATAGATAATAACCAAAATTAGGGCTTCTTTTTTGCAATATCCATCATTCATATTTAATATTATTTCATTTAAGTTACCATATAAAATGTAATTTTCATCAACATTATTTACTGTCACTATTACCTAGTTATCATCTTTCTTTAAGTATTCACATAATTGTCTCCTGATTATTTAACTATAAAATATATTAGATGTTTTAGAAAGCAATTTAATGATACATCCTAAAATGTACATTAATCTTTACCATAGATACTTGAAATTGAGAAGTTTGTCAGAATTAATTTGTAATTTGGTTTATTCTAAGGTCTGGATATCAGCTGCATATAAATAGCATTTTTATTATAATCAGGAACATAGACTCATTAATTGAAGTTTCACATCCTATGAAAAGATGAGAATGCAACAAAATTATCTGACTCCAGGCAAGATCTATGAATATTGATAGGTAATTGTTAGCATCATTTATTTTATGCACACATACAAAGTGAGAAATTATGAAGTCATTATTTCCTGCTTGAATTGAGATGGCTGCATTGATACTGTTTTTCAACATATAATTGCAACAATATCTTAAACCAAAGAGTCAGGTCAATTTCTCTCATCATTACCATGCTTCTGGCATCTAGCTGAATTTATGCCACGAATTTTTCTATTTTGGCACTCAATTCAGGCCTTCTACCACACTGTTTTAGATCCTTTATTGACATGCTGTTCAGCTCTAACTCTCCCCTGGAACAGTGTTCTCCATTCTCACACCTTAGTTTCTACTGATTCTCAAACGTGTAACTTTTGCTTTCTACTTTCTCCTACTTACTTCTACTGGGGGATGCTGTTCTTTCTAACTCTACAAAGAAAGTTTTATGTTAATGTTGTTGACCTGGTGTTTCTTTCTTGTTCACCCAGAGTGTAGGCCTGTTATACATTTGATTGGATATACTTTCTCTTATTCAGTAGTTTATTAAGTCAACATCTGGAAAAACCATTTGATTAATGGGAAACATTTACCACAATTCTCAATTATCTTCTATAAAACTTTAAACAGAACTTAAGCACCCACACCTCATGCAATTAGTCCTGATAAACTGGATAGTGAATGAAAGATTCGTGACTTTAAAAAGATGTTAAATCTTTACTTTCAATAAAGGGCATTTAAGTGTTTGGTATAATGGGTAAGAAGAAAACCAGTTATATTCTTTTATTTTTAAGCATTACTTCAGTTGATGAAATGATATCTATCTACCGTGACTTGCATACTTAACTTGTTTTAAATATTCTGGCCTCTACTAAAAAATTCTAAGGGTTCATCTTCAGTGCATGGTAAAGATATGACTTTGAGTAATGCACATTATATGCACGTATGGAAATGTCATAATAAAACTCTTTACTTCTATAATTAATACATAGTAGCAATATTTAGAAGAGTAATGTAGAGGAGGAAAATAATTTCAGAGGTTGTGATTGTGAAACAAGTATTAAGAGGTTAATTATAGTTTTTATTAGAGTGTTTATGATAACTTTCTAATAGCATTTGTTCATAGGAGGCAAAAAAAGTCATAGCTCGTTTCTAGTCACATCTCCTACTCTAAACACTTTTAAAGAAGGCTGTTTACAGAATGAATGTCCTATGATATTGTCAGTTGTTAAATATATAAAAAGTC